CCTACACTCTTGTCCCTTTGGAACCAGGTAACATGTTGTTGTTGTTGTTATAAAAAATTGAAAACCAATAAAATAATTTTTAAAGAAGAAGAAGTAATACAGATATGGCCTTTGTGTGGATTAGAAAAGCTCTGCTGAGTTATTATCTGAACTGTGCAAATGGGTAAGTGTGGCAAGCTGTACAAAGAAGTGCAATCTTGAGGGAAATCTAATCCAGAGGGAAATCTTGGTCTGCTCCTTCTACTGCAATGCTGGGACAGAACCAGCTTATCTCAGGTGTGTAGCTCTGTGGCCATCTGCTCTATCTATAACACCAACTGGTTTTCCACATGACATTTTTAGCACCTTTCTTTGCTCTGGCGCATAATCTTCATGGAGAGAATTGATACACTTTCTTATCTCATTTCTTAATTTCAAACACACAGCATCACAGGTTCTTTAACTTTATTGCCTGTCCAAGGTGAGTTCACGGGCGTTTGATCATCACTTAGTGAAGCACAACATCTGAGTATGATTTGCTTGTTTGAAAACTGCCACCATAGATAAAATATGAGACCAAAAATAGCAGAAATATCTTTCATGTTAATTGAGATCACCTTAAGCACAATAATTTTCATTTGAGGGTTTTCACATGTTCAGATGAGCCATCAGGTAATAAGTGAAAGGTTATGTACAGATTACAGCTTTTTGAAGAATCAGAAGCAGTATTGTAGAGTTGGTGCTGTTCATGAGAAACAAACATTGCCATTCCCTGACCCACTCATTTTGCATATTTCTGTAGCACTTCAAGGGCAAATATTTTACCAGTGGGACGCGGGTGGTGCTGTGGGTTAAACCACAGAGCCTAGGACTTGCCGATCAGCAGGTTGGCGGTTCGAATCCCCGTGACGGGGTGAGCTCCCGTTGCTCAGTCCCTGCTCCTGCCAACCTAGCAGTTCGAAAGCACGAAGTGCAACTAGATAAATAGGTACCGCTCCGGTGGGAAAGTAAACAGCATTTCTGTGCACTGCTCTGGTTCACCAGAAGTGGCTTAGTCATGCTGGCCACATGACCCGGAAGCTGTACGCCGGCTCCCTCGGCCAATAAAGCGAGATGAGCACCGCAACCCCAGAGTCGGTCACGACTGGACCTAACGGTCAGGGGCCCCTTTACCTTTACCTTTAAATACATTATATATACTTTATTTATATTATGTGGATACAATCATTAATATTATGTATATGACAGAATCAGCATCTATCCATAGAAACAGCCTTTGTAAAGGAAAGCAGCAGCAGCAATGCAAGGCTCCATCTTCTTTAGTAATGTTCCTTCATTTAAGAACATTATCTTACTCTTAAACATTTCCTTTAGAAATGACAATGACTATACCAGAAACTGTTTTGCCAGCTGATCTAGTCAATAATTTAACCACTCCATTGACTTGTATCCTACATAGCAAAAATTAGGGCAGTTAGAATAGGAACTTGCCACATGCACGCACATAACTGCGATTTCCCTCCTCTCCCATTACATTTGTACCATTACCAAGCTGCTACTGCTAAATTGGGACTAATTTATTTAGGAGGAATATGCCCAATTGCTCTTACATTATCAAGTCATGTACAGGCGTGTATGAATCATCCCTAACTTTCCCTGGAAGAGTCCTCAGCCAGCTAGCAACATTTTAGAGCCGCTACAGCCCAGGCAATCCATTGGATGTGTCAATAATGGGCTTACAAATACACCAGTTTCTTCACCTGGCTGTCTGAAGCCTTGCAATCTAGTGATAGAACAGGGCCAGAGTACCCCATGTCTCCCTCTAAAGAAGGAAAATGCAGGTACTCTCAGACGAGCATTAATGCTTCCCTCTTTAAGACTGTATCTGGAAGGCTGCAATCTGGAGATGATAAACTAGGATTGAAATTCTCTGGGTGGGATAGTAGGCTCCAAAGAAACTCAAACATCTAAATGGGAAATAGTGGTACTAATGAGAAACGCCAGCCTACAGAGAACTAACATTAAGAGGTTAGTTCTCTCTTGAAAGATATATGCTTCCATGCCTCCTCTTTCATCTCTTTCCAAAGTGGGTTAGATTCCACTGCCTCCTGGCTGCTCCTGTAGCCTGCCGGGCACAATCTAGCAGACAGGATAATCAAGCCCATCAAAATAGACTGCTCTAGGGAAAGGTTATTAATCACAGATAAAATAATCCAATGCTGACTGAGTGCTTCAGAAGTGCTCTAATCGGAGATAAAACTGATAGAACACACTCTGGCAGGCGCAGGCAGAAACTGAAAGCACAACAGGCCCTTGTGATGCAGTAAAAACTGTATCAGCCAATCAGCATCCTGAAGTAGCCTGAAGGGGTATACACCCCTCCTCCCTATCTCAGACAATCTTGCAAGCACAGAATAAATTATGCTCCCCCACATCCCAGAGTAGCCTCCTACAGCTCCTGGGTAGCATGGAGGGATACATCTGACCATTTACGGCATGTTTGCACAATAGGATTCCTTGCTGGGAGTAGAAACAGGCTATTCCTTCTTGTCCCCTCTCCTCCTACAGCATTCTTATTCGCAGGTGCAAAGTTTATGTATTCAAAACACAGCGACAGAATTACCTGCTGTGTGAAGTGGGAGAATAGGCTGTTTACTCATTGGGATGGGGAGAAATTTAATTTTCTTGGCATTTTAATGAGGGACTACCTAATTCACACTTCTTGAAATGGTAACATGCAGAGTTATCCTTTAAAATTTGCACGTCTCTGAATTTTGTGATCCAGCTCTCCAGCCAAACAATGCGTACAAAAATGCATTCATTAGGAAAATGTGTCCATAGAAATGCATGTATTTGTGAAAATAACACCCAAAAGTGCATTCCACATGGGAAATTGCTTGCAAAATATGTGTATATTAGTCAAATGCATACAAAAATGGGTGTATTGGGGGGAAATGCACACTAAAATGCTGACAATTTTTCATGAAGGCTTTTAAATCAACCAACTAACAAAAACCTCTGCACATTTCATAAGAGATGATAGAAATCCCTATCTGTTTACTCATGAGAAGATTTTCTGGTAAGGAGGAGGGTAGGGCTTCAAAATTTACCTCTTGATGTGGCAGTCAGCAGCTCCTCTGCACAATACGTAATTTATAAAATTCACATTTGCAAAGTATGATGAAGACCACTAGCCAAAAGGTTTCAAGAGGGAAACAGGCAAATTCATGGAGGATAGCTGTGTCTGTGGCTACCGTTGATGCAACCTTCCAGGAGGATTCTTATGCTCTTTCCAGATAGTGAATCTACTCCTAAGGGGAACCAGCATTGTTCCACATGGTATCTATTTAGACATTACACAAAACATGGCAGGGAAAGGACGTCCTCTTCAATGGGGCACACTTTCCTGCAACAAAAGCTGAGGTCACTAAAGAGTAAACGTCTATGTCAGATGTGGAGAAAACTGCATCAATTATTCCTCTGATATATCCCAAAGCTATTATGAATGCTCCCTTATTTATATGAATAGATCAGTGGGGCATGGGGTAGATGGGAGATAAAGAACTGCCTTTGCTGAGCATACTGCCTTTGCCAACACAGCACTACGTTTTTTTATGTAAATACAAGAGGGACTATGCCTTTCAAGCTCTCAACGATGCATCCACTATCACACAGCAAGGGGTGATACTGAGGCAAATATATTTGTAGTGTTGCTCTTGCTTTGCCCTGCGCATTGCAATGCCTTAATATACCCTCATCTGTCTCATTATTTGAGGCACTGGTATATGGATTCTGTGCCAATTGTGGTTGTTCCAGTGCCATAATATGAAGGATGCTCCCTTCCATGTTTAAGAGAAAACAAATATGCATATACTGTACATGCGATAGAATGGAAAGAATTCCTTTAGCTAGTCATACACTGGAAACAGCAACTGGAAACCATACACAACCTAATTCTGATCTTTCCTGTCACCAGATATTCTAGGATGGGGCACATGTATGATGATGCCAGATCACCCCTCCTGCATTTCTCCCTCTTATGGAGACCAGTGTCTGCTTGAAGGAAGCCCAGATGGGAGCCACAAACCCCCATTCGCTCTCTTCATTGATTCCTTCTTCAGTAACCAGCACTAGAGGGAGGGGCAACAATGCAGCTGCATGTTGGAATGATGCGGTCTTCTTCCTTGCCCCTCCCCACCCGCCCTCTCACCCATTATAGATCTGAAGCATTTAATCAAGCACAAATCCCATCTGCCATTAAGGAAATGACCCCTGGGGCTCCTGTCAAATATAGGGTAGGATCCCTGCCCCTCACAGAATCTGAGAGGGTTGATGAAATCAGAGGTGATGGGTTAGGATGCTGAGCTGCCCTAAAGGCAGAGGGTTTCCCCACTGAGATACAAAAAGGATTTGGCCAGTAGCAGAAAGAGCATCTCCATCATATGTATACGAGTCTGTCTACACAAGTCTGTCCTCTTGCAAGGAGCTGCATTTATGCAAAGACGGCAGAGTTTTATCCTCTTTTGTTATGCCAATTCCTATGCAGCAGATGCTCTTCTTGCAGTAATCAGTAATGCTCTTCTTGCTTGGTAATCATAGGAATTGTAACTCTATGAATTGGGAGCATAGAGATCTGTGCTTAGAGTCCTCTGTTACTTGGTATCCTCACCAAATTACAGTTCCCATAATTTTATTTTTATTTCTTTAATGGGAAGCTGTGAAAGTTAAACTGGTACGAGAACATGTACATATGTAACTTAGATGTACAGTGGTACGTCGGGTTACATACGCTTCAGGTTACATACACTTCAGGTTACAGACTCTGCTAACCCAGAAATAGTACCTCGGGTTAAGAACTTCGCTTCAGGATGAGAAGAGAAATTGTGCTCCGGTGGCACAGCAGGAGGAGGAGGTCCCATTAGCTAAAGTGGTGCTTCGGGTTAAGAACAGTTTCAGGTTAAGAACGGACCTCCGGAACGAATCAAGTACTTAACCTGAGGTACCACTGTACTGTTAGGGGAACTTTCCAGTGCTGCTTAACTGTACTAGGAAATATGAAATTGTCTCACTCAAGCTGGAGAACAGAAAATTAAAGAGAGGCCTGATAGCTGTCTTCAAATATCAGAAGGACTGTCATGCAGAAGATGGACTGGACTTGTTCTCCATTGCTTCAGAGGGCAGGGCTTGGGTGGAAGCAGAGAAACATCCTTTTGGTAAAACCTGCAGAACAGGCAACCTCAGGATGAGGTGAGCTCTCCTTCACTGGAGACATTTAAGCAGAAGCTGGGTGGTCATCTGTCAGGCAAACTGTGCATCCTGCATGACAAATCCTACACTGAGTAAGGGGTTTGATAACCTCCCAAGCCCCTATGAAATATCCATTTTCTATGCTTCCAACTGAGTGTGGGAAGTCAGATGCTTTTACTTCTGGGACACCTTCACACATACCATGGAAAGTGAGCCTTGTGGACTGCACAGCTCATACTAGTCTTGCCCCTGCTACTTGAGGTGAGACACAGACAGAGCTAGCTGCTCTGGCATGCGGGGTGGAGCGAGCACCCCAAGTGGGCGGGGTGAGCATCCCATGGGGGTGGGGCGAGCGTTCCATGGGGGTGGGGCAGCAAACATGGGGGTGCCGCTGCCCACAGCGAGCATCCCACGGCGGCGGCACGGTGAGCATCCTAGGGGGCACCACGGTGATGTCACCACCCCCCAGGGATGACACCCAGGGCAAACCACACCCCTCTTCCTCCGCCAGTGGGCACAGACCAGCACGGAGTGAAGCTCCTGCTCTTGCACGTGGATCATATGGATTGGGAAGCTCTGGAATAATACTTCTAATCCTTGAAATCAGAATGACTTGCCCCAAGGCATCAACACCCCTCAAATAATATGCAGGTAACTAGCAAGAACTGGTGGGAAAATTATCCACTTATCACCCAGGAGGTGAGCCAAGCTTGGGGGAACAGTGTTTGAAGCAACAGACTCTAGAGAGGGAAGTGACAGTAAGGGTCTACATTTTCTATGTGGAATGAGGCGGGGGGGCACCTTGCTTTTATAATTGAATGGGGCACACACAGGTAGATGTGCTGGGGAGGAACCACAGCTAATTATACAGCACACACTTTGAATGCAGGTCCCAGGTTCAGTCCCAGACACCTTCAGATAAAAAGGAACCAGAAAGCAAGTGATGTGAAAGACCCTGGACAGCCACTGTCATCCTGGGCAGATAACACTGGGTTAAATAGTCTTTGACAGGCAGCTTCCTAATACATGCGGCTGTCTTTAGAATGCATCTACTTTGCCAGGTTTGGCATTCCTGAGTCACAAAGGCACTGCAGGCTATGTGAGGAGCTTGCACATGTACCTAAGAGAAGGCACAATTTAGAGGAGTCTAGTTAACATACTGCGTAGGATGGCCTCAAAGTGCCTTTTAGAGGAGAGTAAATTTATGTGGGGTGGGGGTGGGGATTCTTAGAACTGAGGGGGAAAGTGCCTGCTCCACTGCTGCTTCTCCTTTAGTTCTGATAATTTAAAATCAAGCCAGTATTACCTTCCTGCCAATAGGTACGGCTATGCCTCATATAATGCCCCGCCCCCACTGAAATATGTTCTGACTGGAGAACCTTTGTGTTGTCTATGCTGCACATACTGTGATTCACCCATTCCAGGGGTGTCAGAGTCTGTGAGAGATGCAGAGGAGAGGTGCTCTGCAAGAGGGAAGAAGGGTAGGGGAGATCTCTGGCACTTAAGTCAAATCAGATCCCTGCTCAAGATCCCTAAGGCCAAATCCCAAAGGGTTCAGTGGGAGATGTCCTTTCTGGCATAATGTGACATTGTCTTTGCTCACCAAGGCTCTGTTCTCAAATCAGCAGAATTCAACTGCTGTTAACCTTCTAGCAGACTTGGGGCTTTGCTAAGGGCAAAGAGCAGGTTGTTAAGGCAGAGCTTTAAAAAATGCTAAGGGACTTGCTTCTTGGTTGGTTTAAGGGGGGCACAGCCATAACAAGAAAATGAACAGTCTGAACCCACTTAGCTGTCTGGAAGGCAAGTATATATTCCCAGGAAAAGGATATGTATGTTGTTGTATGACTAAAGTAAAGGGTGGGGAACCTGTGGCCCTCCAGAGGTTGTTGGATGCTGATCGGGGCTGAGGCCTCCAGGTTCACCACCTCTGGGTTAAATGGTAATGGGCTACATGAGGGCAAACAAACTGAGGCTCAATCCAGAGAAGACAGATAAACTCACGAGACATATTCCGGAATGGGGATTCAACGTGTTTGGGATGGGTTGTACTTGCTTTGAAAAGTCAGGTCCATAGTTTCACCCTTACATCTAGATGACCAGGTGACAGCAGTGGTGAAGAGTACCTTTGCCCAGCTTAGGCTAGTGTATCAGCTGCACCAATTCCTGAGGAATTCAGACCTGGTTACAGCAAGAATGTGAGCAGGTCCACACTTATGGGACCACATTACCATGTTCTGTAATGTTAATAGTTATGTAGGGCAGAATTTTGGCAGGTGAATCATCTCTCACCACTGCAGCACAAATGCCCCTAACTATAAAATATACCTACTTGGCTTGTTTTATATTGTATTTTATATTTAATAGGATTTTTTCATGTATAGTGGAATCTTACTTATTGTTAGCTACTTTGGGCCTCGTTGCATGGAAATGCTACATAATTTGGGGATATAAAGCACCCATATACTTTTTGGATTATGAAAATTGGCATTTTCTCTTCTTATATGAGAGCCAGGCATTTTATAAAAATGCAATTTTAGATTGTGCCACAAAACAAGATTATGTGCTTTGTGGTGCAGTTGCAATAGGGATTCTTAAGGATCTCCCCCCATTCCAATACAAACAGACCAGATCTGTAACCCCCAGACTGATGCGCAGATTGGGATTATTTATTATTATTTGATTATTAAATTTATATACCATCCTTCATCCAAAGATCATAGGGTGGTTTACAGTCTAAAAACACAAAATATGTAACATAACAACAAACTAACAAACAAAACATATCCCCCAGGCACATTTAAAAGTCTGTAGATTGTTTAATCAGCACAGGCCTGGGTAAAGAGGAATGTATATGCCTGGCTTCACTCATTTACTATGTTGACATTGCCTTGGAACGTAGTTACTCTTTGGATTTTGCATTTCTCCAGATGTAGGATAAAATGCATCTAGAAATACATACCTTGAGCAAAAATATCTATGTAAAAATGGATTTTCATGTAGATGTTAAGAAAATGGGCAGTATAACGTGCAGACAGGATAGAATGGAGTTATGAATGAACACATGTGAAACTGGTATAGACTAGATATCTGATGATCAATTCCTAGCTGCAAATAGGCCTATTTCTATTCCATTAAGATAGTCTGGTCCAGCACTCAGTTTCACTTACTCTTTTGAGAGGGGTGGAATATATGCATGGCTGGGACCAAAAGTCAATTGAGTAGATAGAGTATAGCAGGGAAACTTCCTTCTGCAAGCAAACTAGTGCCCCTTGAATGGATCATGGCACTGAATAAGAAAAATGAGAATAGCCACTGAGTTGCTTTCCATGTTTTGATGAAAGACTAAGGCTGGTATTATTCCACGAAGACCCGCTGAAATTAATGAATATGACTAAGATAGGTCCATTAATTTCAATGGGTCTATCCTTCCCCTCTTGGAGGAGAACATTTGGTCTGCCTCAAGTTTATTGTCATCAATAGCAAAGGCCACCAAATAACAAGGATTTAATATCCCTGAAAGTCAAACTGTATTTCACAGCTGAGCCTCAGGTTTTATGCTGCCCCACCCCCCGCGAAACATAAAACATATGTTGCCAGATGTAGAAGTAACCTGTAAGATCCCATAGAATTCTTTCAGATATGTTTTGTCTGTGGTCACAGTGTGGAATTGGAATAGCCTCATGTCACTGGTGTCTTATTTCAGTTTCTGGTGCCTGGTAAGTGATATGACTGCAGCATCCTGTGACAGCTACAGAAGCGGCTACTGAATTCAGCCGAGAGGTCTGTTCTCTGAAATCAGGGGGACTCAACAGCTACCATTAACCTCTTACCAGTCTTGGGGCTTTACTAAGGGCAAAGGGCAGGTTGTGCTAAAGAAGCAGCAGAAGGAAGTCAAGGGACTGGAGCTCCTCGGTTTAAGGGGCACAGCAAGAGCAGCAAAAGGAACAGTCTGGATCCACATGGCTGGCTAGAGGGAAGGTACCTATTCTAAGGAAGGTGCTTATTCCCCTCTGAACATGCTCCTAGCTCTTGCATTAGTAGTACAAGAGAAACACAGGTCCAATTTCATCCTAAAGGGAATGAGACCACTCATGTTCAACAGATATGTAGTAATTAAATACCAATTTGAAAGAAGCTAAAGCAAATATATGTCTTGAGAATGGTTAAATGTGTGGGAGGGGTGGGCATGGCAGTTGCAAAACAGGTTACAGAAAACTAGACTATAACATAATTCCTTCACATTAAACTTTTCCAGCACAATTCTACGTTTTACCCGGAAATATGTCCCACTGAATTCGGTGGGCGCTTAGTGGGCGTGGGATTGCAGCCCTAAATCTTATTGCTGCTTCCTACTGCTAAATTCTCATTAGCATAGCAAGATATGCCCTGTTTGCTGATGAATTAATTGCCTCCGTGCTATCTCCTATGGCCAATCATTGCATGAATTTTCATTTACTCCCTGCTTTAAACTTTTTGGAAATTTCTAATGACCTCTGAGAATGACTTATCTCTGGTTCTGTTATTATACATTTGCTTATTTTCCCTCTTCTCTCTCCTTTTAGATTGTTAGGCATTATTTTGAAAGGTAAATTGCCTTGATTACTTCATCAGAAAGTATATCCCCTTGATTTAAGTGATTAGATATTTGGTCAGAATACTAAAAGCAGAAATAGCTGGGCCCATCTTCCACCTAAGAAAATTAGATTGATGGGAGAGGAGAGCCCTGCTCAGAGATTCTAAATCCCTCAAGCAATGAGGATGAGCTGGAGGGATAACTTCTGCTGCAGGCAGCCTTTTCTGCTTCTGTAGGCTCCCTGAACAATTTAGAGCTCTGGTCTTCCAGGGTTCTAAATCCTGCGGGGAGCCTATATGAGCAGAGCAGGCTCCCCGGCTTAGAAGTTATCTCTCCAATGGAGATGGCAACAGAGTGGGAGGCAAAACTGGTCCCTGCTCCCCCTTATTGGGTGAGGGATTTAGAATACCTGCATAAGGTCAGTGTTCACACATCATCTAAAATCCACAACTTTATATATGTGTGATTCCTATCACTATGCATATAGGCATATGTGGGAGGAAGCCTACCATTTCTTGTCACTTTCTGTAACAGGCTTACCAATATCACACCTCTAAGTAGCAAAGTACTGATCGGTGTGTTATAGGAAATCTGCAGTTGACTGGCTCCATAGCAGGAGAGGAGGATTCTGGCAGGGTAAATATACATGTGAACATTTCCAGTGTGTTGTTGAAGAAGCAGGATTATGTAACAGAAAGCACACATGCAAAAATCCCCAAGTTATTCACAGGAACAAGCAACCATAGGTGGCTCTCTAAATATTTGCCATTAAAAAATAAAGCAGCAATGTAAATTAACTAGTTTGCCTCCCATGGATATGTGAAGAGGCCCCTATTGATTTGTCCTGAATTTCAGCTGCAAAAATAAAATAAAAATGATCGAATATTTCCACATCCCAACAATCCTTTGAAATGATTTCCATTTTATGTAGAAAATGATGCTGAGAGACCTTGCCCAAGATTTCTGGTCTTAAACCCACTGAAGTACACTAGCTGCATTAAACAGAAATGTTGGTAGTATAATCAAAGATGGATGAATGACTCTCCAGATTTTGTTGGACTCCAACTCTGGGCCAGGAATGATGGGGTTTGTAGTCCAACATCTGGAGGCCCACAGGTTCCTCAACCTTGCCATAGAAAATTAAGCACAACCCTTAGCGCTAAGTTAATACTGTGCATGTGTGCTCCATACAACTTGGGTGTCCTGGACAGGCTATGTCCCACCCCAACAGCAGGGTAGCATCTAGCGTGTTGCTGCTATCCTGCAGCAACAACAATTGCCAAGCAGTCATTTTCTTATTTCTTCAGGCCCTGGTAAAAAAACACTTGTCAAAACAGGGCCTGAGAACGCAGCTCCTAAGACCACATGTCAATGAATTAAACCCAATGAAGTAAATCCAACACAGAGAAGGGATTTCGTTTTAGGCCTGCTAGAAATTGTGTAGTCAGGTTCTTATCCTGGAGCTGGTGCAAGGGTTATCACTGGTACTGGGCAAATGATATGAGGCTGAAGAATAAATGATGGCCTACATTTGTTTTATACTGACTCTTAGCGCACCCAACCTTCAATCTCTATTTTAATTCTCTATAAAATTAGGGTATTTTTCTTCCCTGACTGTCTTGATTGGAAGCACTTTAAGACAGATTCTTATTAGTAACATGAATATTGTATGGCACACCAGGACCTCTAGGGGCTCATTTTGACACAAATAACTCTTGTTGATTAGCTGTATTTTGTTAACTGCTCAGGCTAAAACACAATAATATTTCAAGCAGCCAAATGCTTTTAGAAGGCTGCTAGGGTTTTTTTTGTTTCTTCCTTGTGAAACACAGCTTCTTACACTTAAAAGATAACATTTTATGTCTCTAAACATGAATTTCAACCTGTTTAAAGACAGCCTGTCAGAAATCCACAGGTATATTTATTACAAAAAAGCTGCTTTCCAAAGAAAGCTTCGCTTTCAGCACATACACACAGAGTATACACCCCCCACAGACCCATATTGTTTTCTCTCTAGTAAACACAGAAATTAAAAGCTATTCCGATTGAAACCTTCTGTTTGGAGGGTGCAATATTACTTTCGTTTCTTCTTAAACTACTGCTAAACATACGGATTTGCACAGAATTTCTACAGATTACAAACTGTCATCTTGTTCCTATTTTGTATCAGTTTGTCTCTCAAAAGTAGTGTTGAAGCAGTTACAGTTGGTGACGGGGGCTTTTGGGAAGATCTGAGCCAAATTATGTTTCTCCAATTGCTAGGGACATCTAGATGATTTGTAGGGAAAAAACTATCACAGAGGCAATGTTCAGATAAGGTGGATAAGCTCCTTTGTTCTCTCTCTCTCTTGCTAGCTTTTAACTGCAAAAAAGATGATTAATTCCTGTCTGATTTTAACAGAAGTCCTTAGAAAAAATATAGTAAAATATAGAAAAATGATCCTATAAACCACTATACTTCTACAATTTAATGGAGAACAATTCAAGACTCTATAGAGGCTTTGTACTGTTATGAGTTTGTGGGGAGGAAGTAGATTACATGCAATATCCTTTTACCCCTGGATCCAGCAAGTGTTAAAAGAATAACCCAGGCTAGCTTCCTATGCTGAGGTGATTGCCTGGGTGATGGGCCATTAAGAGAACAAAGGAAAGGGGGCTCTGTGCGAGATGGCAAACTAACTCAGAGATAGGGACAAGGCCTGAGTTGAGGGCTGAAAGTGGGAGTGATGTTATGAAGAGGTAAAGCAGCAAGCTGGAGAGTCAGAGCAAAGTTTGAGAGCAGTGTTTGATTTCTGTTTGAAGCCAAGGCTGTGGCTATGGAAGAAACAAGACCCCTTTGTGGTGTTAATGCTGTGAACCTCTGCATCGTAGGCTCAGGTTGTATATATGTGTAAATAAACCCTATATCATAAAGATACCACTGTATCCGCTGTGCCTCATTTCCAAAAGGAAGTGTGAACCTTGACGAAGTGTCTTGAACCCCTG